AATTTAAAAAAACCAAGCTGTTTCCCATATGATTTATGTGATTTCCCTCGTTACCTGATAACAAATTGTTTATATATAATATTATATAATCATATATAACTATATATAAAATCATATAGAAATGTATCAAATAATGTATAATTCCTTATATGATTATATATAATTTTATACGATTATCATGTAATATAATCGTATTATATAATCGTGTATTCGTTTAAAGAAGTCAGGTATAAGCAGCATCATATATAATTATATATAAAGTTGTGTAAAATTATATATATTGATCTATCATATATATTTATATTCATATATAAGGAATTACGTATAAATTTAATATTTCTAAATGACTTTATATAGTTATACATATGATTACATATGATTATATATGAAACATTTTTTATCAGATATCCTTTTGACATATCCTTAAGAGAAAAAGATTGATTATTTTAGTGTAAATATATCTAGAATCTTTTTGATAGTAATGTTACAGTGCACTTTTCCGAATACATTAACTCAAGCAAGAATACGTTTTGTTCAATTCAAGGGGGTGAATGTAGTTATAGAACAATTGAAATTCTCGCGCAACAGTGATCGAAAGAAAATTGCACGTATCATTGACAGCAACAGTAACTATCCATTCGAATATCGATGCCTGCAGGTCTGTCGAAACTTTCTACTTGATATTGGTGATAGACGCCAAATAGTGGTTGTTGCAACAAGCTTGAAAGCGCCTCTGAAGTAACTCAATATTAACCTAGTTACTGATATCGTGCCTATGATATCTATAACATTTCCGTACTGTGTGTATTAGCGTGGAAGAAGGAAGATCTAGCAGCGAATTAACTTGTTGGCGCATTTAACGAGTTATCTAAATTACTACTGTGGGACATGATGTACTTTCACATACTTCATCATCTCATCAAGGAAAAAAACGAAGAATTGATTAAACTTGTTAAAATTCGATCTGATATAAAACTTAATATATATCTACAAAAGTGCTTGATTCAGGAAAATAATTACTCCCCAATACTGTTTGAAAAATTTTTATTTGGATCAAATAATATTTATTAGATCCAAGTATAATATTTTCCAAGTAAATTATCCCAGTAAAATATTTACTCCATTTAAATAAAATTTTCTTAACATTAAAATCATGACAAAATTTTCTTAACATTAAAATATGGATCATTTTTTACCTACTTGTAGATATTTTTCCTTACTTTTTTGAATTTTCATTACTGGGAAGCCTTCTCTATCATAAGACAATTAAACAATATCATAAAATTAAAAAAGTCTATAATTATAAGAAAAGGTAGGTCAAAAGTAATTCATCCGTGATTGTAGAAGAAATTCAAATTGCCACGTTTCTAGTGTTAATCCAAGTAAAAATTTGCAAGGAAATATTGGAATAATATTTTTACTTTAATTTAGTACTTTTTTTCTGTATAGAAAGATACATATTTTGATTATGAAAATAATATGTTTTCTTCAAATTTGAGCTCTCTTTTTACTTTCTCCCTTTCCCTCCTCCTTTATCTCTCTCTGTATCCATCACTATTTACCTCACATATTCTCTCTTAAGAGGAAGATACAACGTATGAAGCGCAAAAGCTTCATTCACGTCATAGCTCAGAGCTGCAAGTTTAAATCCGCTACTGCTTTAACGTTTCATCGAGATGAAACGAACGCACCACGCGATTAAACTCAAATCACGATGAATAATAACGATAATCCCTGAAGCACATTCATTAATTATTTATTTATACAATTACGTTTATTTATCATGTTTACCGTTACAGTCACCTATATATATGGCTACTCTGAGGCAAATCTTTCTCTAAACCGCGAAAATTATTTTCGTAAAAGTTGTAATTATTTTATGTCATATAAAAGATCGTTTTCCGAAGTTTGAACAATTATAGTTTTCAAATAAGAAGAACATGTTTTCAGAGAAAAATTATGGTTTTTACAATTTTTTTATCGCACTTGTATATGTTGTACGAACGCTTGCTTAAAAAAAGCTGGTTCGATCGTGTGCAATTAAAGAAATAAGCAGGTGTATTAAAAACATATATATATATATATATATATATATATATATATATATATAAGCATATAAAATATATAACGAAAATATATATATAGATATATTGAGAGATACATTTAAAGTTAAAATTAATTTACATTTAAAATTAAAGTACATTTAAACGTGATGGTTTCTTTTCCTTCTCAGTTAATTGATCACATATTACAAATTGTTTCGCTTTTCATCTGTTAATATCAAGATTCAGCAGTCGAATATTTTGCTACAGGAGTTGACAACACACACATTTATCTCTCAGTATATTGAATTATATAACGGGTAGTCGGAGATATAACGCTATACATCAAGGTACTTCTTTGTTAATTACATTCCGTCACCGAATTCACTTCTCGAGTAATAAATGAGAGCATTTCGTACGTAATTTAACACGTAGAAATTTGGATTATACATTTCGTACATGTGCTGTTAGTTGCTACATTGTAAAGAATGTCGTCTCGCTTTTGCGCAGTGTATTAAAAAATTTATATTTTTACGGCTTGTGGCACACCAGCAAAAAAACGTGTAACGTATTATCTGCTGCGCGGAGATGAAAAAAGAAAAAAGAACGGTTATACGGTTTTGCGACCTATCCTACAAAAAGATGAATTTCAACTATATATATTTCTAATTCAGGTGAAATCAGAATTTTGCTAACGAGTTACTTCCGACTATTTAATTTCGTTCCTGTTTGAATGTTTCACTGTTGACTGAGGCAAAAATAATAAGAAAATTTGTGAAAGATACTTACCTCGTGTGTTCCTCTCTCGATCTATTTTACAAAACTGGCGGGTTTTCTTGAAACAAAGTTAAAATCGAGTTTTGGTTGTTGTTACTGCAATACGATTTTGTTAATTCCTGTTTTTAAATTCTTGTTAACAAGCGTTAGCGCGTATACAGTAAATCAATTTTCTTATTTTTAATTATCTCATATTTTCTTGTCCAAGTTACAATCGTGTAACTAATAAAAAATATACTGTGAATCATAAAAATTAATGCCAAGTTGCACACAGAATACGGAAATATGCGAAACAGATAAGCGTGAAAACTTTTCCGTTGCACATCATTTTACTTTCTACCATCACCGCGTCCGAAATTCAGCGAAACGCCGGTTTAAATTATAACGTCTGACGATACCTTAGCGATTGGCTGTTCTGTGAAAAAAATCCGGCGCGTCCGTTATGCTAATTTCAATTTCGTAGATCGGAAATTTGACGCGCGGTTGGAAGAGGCACATCGATCAACGTTGAAACTACCGACAGAACGTTAATAGCTCGAAGACACATTACGAGTCTCGCACAACAGAGGAAAGTATATTACGCTGAGATTGCCCTGTTTTATATATAGAAACGGGATATCAATTCGGCAGATCGGGTGCGCAGCGTAAACTGAAGGGAATCTTGGATTCACGGCGGATCCACGTCCGTTCGACGCAGTCGCAAAACACGGTGCAACCGGGTACTCCCGTCTTTCTCTTTCCGTCCCATGGCACCCCTCCTTCGTCTCGTTCGCGCCACCGTGGTGCACAGAATCACACTTCCTGGGAGAAATAATGAACTGGGAGGCACTCGTCACATTTTGCGGAATTAGCAAATTGCACGTCGCTCTACTACTTTCGATTAGCACAATTTCCGTTAAACTATATGCGCGCAAGGGTGAGTTGGTAAATAAGTCGGATTTACATAAGAAGATAAGCTCTTTCTCAAATATCTTTTTTATTCTCTTTTTGCGAAAACAGAAAGCCGGCGTATCTCCGGATTAAAACTGTCCGGAGGGAAATAATTTCATACGTAAAAATATACTCTCGTACGAAAAAAGTTATAGTAGGACAAAAAGTTCTTGTCCTATCAGTTCCAGATACGTTAATTTTTATAATGCTACTGACAAAAGAAAACGGCCGATATAATTATGATGTTATGTATCGGAAAATCGCAATATTCCTTGTATTTACGTTTACGTGCGGTTGGTAACGATCGCGATATATTTTACATTTTATTTGCGTAGAGGGTGTATTGCAGATGCAATAATATACAATTTATATATGACAGAAATTGCAACTGATCGCAATATCGCATGCGGAAATTTTGAAGTCAGCTATTCGGTTACGAAATTCCAATCCGCGATCGCAATCCGTCGTCTGGTCCGTGCTTTAGTCAAATATATATTAAATTCGTAGATTCATACTGACGGCAGTCGCGCGAACAACAGAATATATTATATCGCCCGTAGCAATCGAGCTCCGTAATTATGATATACTCATGTGTGCAGATATACTGTACAATTACATCAATCTATTCCCAACGACAGAATGTGTTTTATAATTTAAAATTCATTTAGAGGTCACTCTTGACTGCACAAATAGAATAGATACAGCTTTGGGAATTAATAAATCAATAAAAGATCTATCACGAAGTGGTGTTCTCTCTGCCTCATATTAGGGAATTTACGTTCAAAAGTTTTCTTTTTAATATTTTTGTGCTACACAACACTACTGATATTAATTTATAAGTGATTCTTTTTTAATTTTTAATAGACTAGTAGAATAATATTAATCGAATATTTGATATTTATGTTCAATTCGGTATGTATAATATCATATTGAAGTTGACTCTGACTATACATTAATATGTATATATATTCTTAATCAAAAGTTTAAATAATTGTATTTAAAGACTAAAACAATAGCAATGTGCAAGTTTAGAGTACATGTCTAGATATTGGTACTTTTACCTTATTAGACAAAGAAAGAAGTATCCTCAAATCAGAGTAAAAATGTACCCCATTTTTATTGCCTCATTAGATTCTCCTCGCCATTTCCAACGATATGGTACCATGGCCAAGAAGTTGGTACATCGCGCCACTGCGGGGTCTATTGGAACGCGTGTTTTGGATGATTTTCTGAACACGACGCTCTAATGTGATGGAAGCGAAACGCCCTTTCCTCGGCCACTTTTAATCACCTTATCCAGGGGTCAAATATAGCATACCGTTGGAAAGGTCTCGGCGAGGAGAATCCAATGAGATAATAAAAATGAGGGTCACTTTTGCTTTGATTTGAGGGTACTTCTTTACTGATGTCGGGTAAATGTCATGGACTAGTGTCGGAACAATACTGGCATGCAACATTGGATCGATGTCGTTGAGTATGTCGACATTGACATCCAACATTAAGTCGATCTAGACATTATGCGCGACGTTATAGCCTGTGTCGGGAATTGGCGGCCGATATTGGCTCGACACCGGCCCAATTCTAAAATCATACATGGGGAGTGCTGCAATAACTTTGGGAACTTCCAATTTTCTGACATATTGTAATATGAAATGACAAGATGTCTCGCATATATACAAACAGCTTTTTTGAAAGTTGAGCTTTGACAAATGATGGTAATGATAGCGGCAGTCAAAATGTTAAATATGTATCAGAAACGTGCACGTAAATGTGTTTTCTTATTAATTATGTGTACGTAGCATGCTTCCTTCGAGATTTCGATCTTTTAATTTCTGCCAGGTTTCAATAACTTTGGTCCCACTGCGTCTCACAAACACGGGCATAAATTTCACCCTTGGTGACGACTTCGTCTTTCATATAATCACGCCCGCTGAATGATCGCTCCGCATCGTCGATGATAAATCACTCGGTGCACGCCCCTCGCGATGTCTTCCCTCTTGGGTGTCCTCCGTATCGCGAGTAATGTCGAAGAAAATATTCTAGAAGCGACCAACTGCTTTAAACTACTGCTCTCGGTCGTTCGACGTTCCGTTTGAGAATCCACTTGGAATTCAATTAGAATTCCCACGATAAGTGAGGCAGCGAACGGGCCAGACGCGGTTACATCGAGTCCTCGTGTGCATTTGCACTTTCCCGGTATCGTCGTCGATGTCTTCTTTTTTTTCTTTTTCTTTTCAGTGCCGATCCTCTAGCGCGGAGTGTGAAAACGCGCGATCTCCTTTGTCGCTTTCTCGGATTTCGCAACGCGGCTCTTCGCGACAAATCGCCGTTCGATCTGTGAATATATCCGGATTCTCAGTTGGCGAGCTCGTTGATTGCCCGTGGTTGATTGCGCGCTGAAACATCGTCGAGAACACGTAGCAAAGGGAAGTGAAAGAAGGAGACGAGTGTAAACGACGCGCAGGTATGTGCGATTTGGTCCTTTCAATTTTCCCGAATCACGACGCGTAAGATCGACCGATTTCGCCTGACTGGACGACAATTTCGATTTTCCATCGTGTCGATTGGTAGATAATAGTCATTAGAAGTACGCGAATCTCGATATCGGCGGACAGTTTTGTCAAAGTTAGGGTTAGGGTTAATTAAGTAAGATTTAGTTTTAAGAGCTATTAAGTGGATGTATCGACGACGCCCGGGTCGATTCTCAGCGACACATTGTGCGCGACGACGCGGCCGATGTCATCTAACGAAATTACATCGCCTTTCGAGAGGGCATCTCGCAACTGTACATTTTAGCGCGTCGCTATCGGAATTTCAATTTGAATACATCTCGCCCTTTGGCGTGTGTATCCCTCCGCTGCCCCCGTCGCGTGCGGCCGCCGTAACTTGAACGAATTTAATTGCACGCACTCGTGGTAGAGACGTCTCACTCTCCGGATCGCTTTAAGTGGCTAGCTTTAAGCACGCGTTAACGAGCGTCACTCCGCGAATCGATGATTTGCTTCTACTCCGTCACCGTTGTATTGACCGAACGCACGTGTTCCGTCCAAAAATAAGGAGCTCACTTCGGCCTTCCTCCACCACTCACACGTCCGCGGAGCGTGAAGAGAAAGGGATGTCGTGAGTTTGAGAAACAATGCGACAACCGAAGTATGTTAACCCAGTTCGAGGGTAAAAAGTAAAAGGATTCTGCGGGTTATTTGCGGATCGTTACGCCCGTTTGGTCGGATGGTCGGACATAAAACAAACAAAGTGGTTAGCTGCGGCACGGTGCCTGTGATATGTATCGTATACGTGAGACGTAATGTATACCTTGGTGACGTTTCGCTAACGGAGGAGTCTGCAAGAACACGTTTCCGTACAATCGGTGCGTTATCATTTTCCGGGAAATAATGGGACAATTATCGGAGCTCCTACCGTTGCTGCCTAACGTTTTCTCGATACGACTACAGCTTCTCGTTCATAATTATCGATTTAAATGGTGATGGCTAGTTAAATTTAAATATAAAACTGCAATAAACTTAAATGCCTTTGTATAGCGTTTTGGGAGATTTTATGAGGAATATTCTGTTACATCGTTGCAGCGTTCTTTGACCGCAGAGAGTTAAATAATTATGAATTTAGAAAAATCACTTCAGTTGTATTTAAACGATTAAATTAAAAAATGTATCTATGAATCTAAATAAACTGGTTACGAGATGCTTCCGACTATTTAGACGAGGCCGTGTCGTATCCAGAAAGAGAAATGAATCTCGAATAATACTCGTATTCTTCGTGCAATTTTTTATAAAAAGCTTGCCTCGAAAATGCGTAATATACCTCGCAGACGACGAACAATATTTCCTCGAAAAGCTTGAGCTTGAACACGCTAACGTTGCGTGTGTCGCATAAACGTGAAACAAGCCATGATATGCTATTTACCCAACTCGCGAGACCTTGCAGTCAAAGTGAGCAAAACGTTGAAAAAGGATAGAGAATACGAGTATGCATTAACGCGATGTCTCACCTCACATGTGCGATAAGCTAAAGGGCAACAAGCTCAAGCAGCTTTCTAATGAGAACACTTTGCACTTACGCGTATGTTTATGATGTGCTTCCAGATTTGACTAAATAACGTGCGGAAAACGTCCATCTGAAATCAGCCGAACAATAACAAGTTATTGTCGATTTATACGTTTGTATTGATCGAGTGCAGTGGGCCGGCGCGCCTCAATTCTTAATAAATTTGCAATTAGAGGTGCTATTAATTTTCCGCTGACAAAAGCTCGACATCAAATTTATCAAAGCGTCTCTGCGGTTAAAAGAAAATGTAACAACGGTGCGCACTATTTATACAATATATACAATGCACTGAAGCGGCAAGGGGAGAGGGGGGGGGGATAGTTTCTATAAAACGTTTAGAATGAGAGGGAAATATAAGTAGGCGATACAAACGGATTTACTACAAACGGATTTTTATTTGTACGTCAGCTGGATGAAAATGCAAGAGGAATTAACCCTTCATTGAATTCAGGTTCCCTCTTTATTGATTCAATATACATTTAGTAAAGTAATTCCGTGAAATTCCGTCTATTTCAGTTAGATGTGTACATATTTTATGTTTATAATCGTCTTATAAGCTCAGAGCGGCATTTCAGTGCTATAGTATTATAAAATATGAGATACAAGACGTGCGTTGAATATCCGAATAGCCGTCTTA